ACGTAACTGAATGCATAAGCCTATGAAAAGGTGCCAAAAGTGTGACCACATGTGTGCTCACAATCACTGCTAAACAGCCGTTCATTGAATTCAACACAAACTGACCGTTGATTTGGTTATCGTTTGTATTAAACAACAAACAAATAAACGATTCATTCATTAATTACCAAACCTTTGGACACAAGCCTATAACCAACTGATATCAGCATCGGTGGTAAGTAATCTGCAGCCATAGACATCTGGCGCATATACATGTGACACGTGTTGTTGATATTGGCAGCGATGGTAACACCGGTTCCCGAGTCGATAGACTTCGCCGCGGAAGAGGTGAAAGTGTTGGACCTCTGGAAGCGATTGGACGCCTTCCAGACATGTCTGAAGCAATCGGCAAACAAACCACGATTTGTCTTCTACGACGGCCCTCCCTTTGCCACCGGACTCCCCCATTACGGACACCTACTCCAGGGTACTGTGAAAGACGTGATCCCGCGATGGGCTCACATGAGTGGCTATCACGTGGACAGACGGTTCGGTTGGGACACTCACGGCCTGCCCGTTGAGTTCGAGATCGATAAGACACTGAACATCAGATCACCCGATGATGTCCACCGAATGGGTATCAAAGCCTATAACGACGAGTGCCGGAAGATTGTGATGAGATATGCGGGTGAGTGGCGGACAGTCGTNGCCGCTCAGTTCTCCGCATAAATTCAATCCATTTTTGTTATATAAATTTAAATCAATTTCTTTGGATTTATCTCGTGTTGAGAATAACGAAAACTTTGAGTTTTGACCGAAAGCTACTCTTATCTGTAAAAAATAAAATAATAATTTAGTAAACATTTTACATTTTAACTAAATATCATACCAGCATTAAAATCACACAAAAACATTGAGTTAACAGTTAACTTATAGTTCATTAAATGAAAAAAATAATTAAATTACATTTCTATCCAATTCGTGTCCACTCGTAATGTACTCTCCGATCGGGTTCTCCAACAAAACGGTTGCCTTTCTATCAGTCTTTCCCTCTTTAGTACACAATTCGATATTGAAATACTTGCAAAACGGTGGCTCAGATACCCCTTCACTACTTCCAACGCCACTCGTACTACTAGTCCTTTTGTTGGGGCTATTCTTCACAGGTTTAGGATTATTAGCACTTTTATCATCACTTTTAATGTCCAATCCATTAGTGAGCACCTGTTGGCTGCCATTTACTTTTGCACTTTCCTTAGCGCCGGTATTACAGAGCTTTTCATTTTGCGAGGCAATCACGAACTCAATGGTCACGTCTTTAATGGTTTCCTTTTCGGCGATCACTTGATGCCAACCCTTAGGCAGCGTCGCCGGCATCGGCTTTAAGGCCGCCTTCAACGTGTTGGCTATGAATTCGTTAAACTCGTCGACAACTCGCGCTAAATCTCCAGCCGTTCCCTTGTGATAGACAACCACTTCATCGGACGGTACGAGTCGAGCCTTTTTGCGGAGTTTTTGAATGCGATTAATCACTTCACGAGCGACGCCCTCATCCATCATATGTCTGTCGGGCTTAACGTTCAACAGAACCAGAATATCTCCGTCCGATTCGGCTTCATATGTGTCCGACAATTCGGTCGACAATTCGCCGCCCAATGTATACTTAACCCTCAATTCTCCCGCTTCTAATCGATGTCCGGACACTGAGAAGTCATTCGGACTCTTCTGATACCTCTGGAGGTCGGCGTCAGTCAGTTCTCTGATCGCTTGTATCACTGCTTTAGATTCATTCCGGAGCCGAAGACCTAGAGCTTTGATATCGGGCTCAGCCTTCAGTTGAATGCCGTATCTATCCTTCTCTGTGGTGACCGTAACTTTTCGCACNTGAGAAGTCATTCGGACTCTTCTGATACCTCTGGAGGTCGGCGTCAGTCAGTTCTCTGATCGCTTGTATCACTGCTTTAGATTCATTCCGGAGCCGAAGACCTAGAGCTTTGATATCGGGCTCAGCCTTCAGTTGAATGCCGTATCTATCCTTCTCTGTGGTGACCGTAACTTTTCGCACATTCAACTCATTCACGATATACCGTTCCAGTGTCTGGACATCACTTAATACTTTCTCGTCTTTGCTGACGATCACCACATCGGGTAAAGGATACTTGAGTGGCATTGTACGCCTGTCCCTCAGCACCCGACCCACCTCTACCACAGTCTGCATGCGTGACACTTGGCGTTCAACCGCTTCATCAATGATCTCATCCCTGACCGGCGAATGCATTAAAAAGTGGACACTTTTGGGCACATCTTTTCCGGACTTCAATTGTTTCAGATTCTGATACATGTATTCAGTAATGAATGGCGTGAACGGCGCCATCATCTCAATCATTGTCATCAGTACGCTATAGAGTGTGTGGAGGGCTTTATTGGTGTCGTCCCTGCCCTCATCGCCCTTTAGTCGCTTCCGGTTCATACGGACGTACCAATTGGTCAGATTGTCCACGAATTTTATGAGGCGCGGAACAACTGTATAGAGTCTATAGGCTGTGCCGTCGGGATAAGTATTGAAACATTAATTAAAATTCAAATCCAAATCATAAGTCAAACCAACCCTTCATTTCCTGTTTGACAAATCGGACCAAACTCTGTGTGAAACTGGAGATCCATTTATCCATCACATTATCGCAGTGTTCAACCAGCGACTGGTCGTAAGCAATCCCTCAGCACCCGACCCACCTCTACCACAGTCTGCATGCGTGACACTTGGCGTTCAACCGCTTCATCAATGATCTCATCCCTGACCGGCGAATGCATTAAAAAGTGGACACTTTTGGGCACATCTTTGCCAGACTTCAATTGTTTCAGATTCTGATACATGTATTCAGTAATGAATGGCGTGAACGGCGCCATCATCTCAATCATTGTCATCAGAACGCTATATAGTGTGTGGAGGGCTTTATTGGTGTCATCCCTGCCCTCATCGCCCTTCAGTCGCTTCCGGTTCATACGGACGTACCAATTGGTCAGATTGTCCACGAATTTTATGAGCCGCGGAACAACTGTATAGAGTCTATAGGCTGTGCCGTCGGGATAAGTATTAAAACATTAATTAAAATTCAAACCCAAATCATAAGTCAAACCAACCCTTCATTTCCTGTTTGACAAATCGGACCAAACTCTGTGTGAAACTGGAGATCCATTTATCCATCACATTATCGCAGTGTTCAACCAGCGACTGGTCGTAAGCAAACTTCACTCGATTTTGTTTCTCAAACCACTCGATATTCTGCACCAAAAACCTATAGGCGTTAAACCACGGCAGGAACACGTCCTTCAGTACATCCCGGACCCCTTCCTCGTGAAACCTCAGGTTTTCCGCCCTAACAATCGGCGAATTTATGAGATACAGGCGCAGGGCGTCGGCGCCGTACTTGTCGACCACATCCATGGGATTCGGATAGTTTTTCTTGGATTTAGACATCTTCTGGCCATCGCCGGCCAACACGAGTCCACTGCATATCAAGTTCTTGAAGGGAGCCTTTCCAAAGAGTAACGTTCCCAACACTACGAGTGTGTAAAACCAGCCCCGGGTCTGATCCACGCCTTCACACACAAAGTCTGCCGGAAAGTTCTCCTCGAAATGCTTGCGGTTTTCAAACGGATAGTGAGACTGAGCGTACGGCATACTACCCGACTCGAACCAACAGTCAAACACTTCAGACACCCGCTTCAGCATCCCTTTCCCCATTCGTGACGGTATCTCAATATCGTCCACAGACTCCCGGTGCAAATCAGTCACTTTTTGACCACTTAGCCGCTCTAACTCCTCTATGGAGCCAATGCACACCACTTCCTCTCCATCGTCGCTCACCCACAGAGGTATAGGTGTTCCCCAATACCGGTTCCGACTCACAGCCCAGTCTCTCGCATCCCGGAGCCAATTGCCGAACCGTTTCTCCTTCACAAAGTCAGGCACCCAATAGGTATTGGAGTTGGAGTCGAGTAATGCCTGAGACATTTGCTCCACCCGTACGAACCACGAGGGGACGGCCCTATAGATCAGTGGAGTTTCCGATCTCCAACAGTAAGGATAACTGTGTTTAACGGAACTGCTGTTCACCA